GCGCCACATTGTGGGGGTCCCTAGAAGCCCTGCTTCCCCAGAGGTGGATTCCTCTGACCAGGACAGGCGGGACAGAGGGGCCTGGCATCAACGGGCAGGTCCCCTGCTCACTCTCTCACTGCGCATGTCTGTCCCTACATTTGATACCCGACAGTTCTGGGGTCAGAGCCTGGCTCGCTCTCAGCAGGCTGAAGTCAGGTGTCCAGGGCTGCTCTGTTTCCAGAAGTTCTGGGGGGGAAATCTGCATCCTTGCCTGTCTACACCTGGAGTTTTTCTCAACATTTGCTTCCTTCTCGATCGCTCTTTCATTTTGACTCTTGTCTTGGGCTCCCCCAGATAATCTAGATTTCTTGCATGTTGTTCACTGAAGCTCAGCTGATTAGCACCCTCAATTCCATCTGCTATCGCTATTCCCTCTGCCTTGAAACTAACACCTACAGGTTCTGGGTCAGGACCTGAATGACATGGCAGGTGGGGGGGGGGCTGGTTTTCTACTTGCACACACTTTGGAAGGATACCTGAGCCCCACAGCAGACTCAGGGCAGAGAGAAGGGGTGTCATGACCTCTCATATCTAGCCAAGAAGTGGTGGCTGGGAGAAAGCAGGGTGGGTTGGGGGAGTGAGCACCTCCGGCTGCTCAAAGGGTTAACAAACCCCAGAGCACAGGGGTGGACCACAGTGGGGGTGAATTAAAACCCGGGGCTGAGCAGGCAGAGCACAAGGGACTCCTGTGGCTCTGTGACGGGGTCACTGTCATGGCGAATATCCAGCTTGCCTTTGTCAAAATCAGTACATCTGCATACCGTTAGGAGTGAATGCTACATAAACAATTGTCTATGGTTAATGATAGTGTATCAACGTCAGGTCATCAATTGTAGCAAATGTACTATATGAATGCAAGATGTTCACTATGAAGGAGGTGGGTGTGGGCAGGAAGGGAGGAGATCTAGGGGAAAGTGCGGTACTTTCTGCACCATTTTCCTGAAACCTAAAACTACTCTAACAAAGCATTTTAAAAAACCAGACCAAAGCCAGGCTTGAAGTGAGTGCATTGGGGGAGGGGCAGTGAGTGTGCCAAGGAAGGTCGGGGACTTCTTGGTGGGGTCTGCCTCCCGGAATCCTGTGTCCCCTGATCATGTTCAGGCTACTGAGAAGATATCCCCGCCCCCCACCAGCCCCCTGCCCCCACTACCAGTGTCTGCAGTTTGTGATGGCAACAGTCATTTCTAGGTGTGTCTCTTTGAGATCCTAAAATGCTTGCCTTCTGAATCATTTGGGGGTGGTGAGGAGAACATGCAGGGGACCTGTTGGAGCAGGCAGAAGAGTCCTACTGGGAGAGGAATGTTGCAACCTGGTGGCGACCAGGCATCTTGGCATGAGAAGAAGTGGAAGAGGAGACCCACGGTCTTGAACAAGGAAGGACCTGCCTAAAATCCCTGGGGTCCCCACGGTTCCTGGGGTGACAATACTTCTGGATCCCGTTCCCCATGTCCCACCCATTTCCCCCTGCCTCCTTCTGACTCACCCTATTGCCCTCTTTTCACATTCGTGCTTTTCTCCTCTTCTGCCCAACCCAGGTCTTGGCATGTGCTATTCCCTCTCTGACAGTTTTCCCTCTGTTAATTCCTTGTCAGTTTCTGTGCTTTCTTGGAAGTTGACTCAGTTATCACATCCTCAGGAAAGCCTTCCTAGGACTCCCTCGAAAGCCCTCAGGGGCCCCGCGACCCTCTCCCAGTACTTTCCGGAGTTATGTTTTTGGTTATTTCTTTTTGCCCTGTTTCTCCTTTGTCATGTCTCCTGCCAGGCTGTGAGCTCCGCTGCGGTGAGGCTGCAGGCTTGCTCATCAGTGCAGCCTTGGTGCTTTGCATAGGTCACGACACACAGAAGGAGCTTACAAATTTTGTGAAATGGGCCTCCCTGGTGATACAATGGGGTTAAGTCTCAGCACTATGAAGCTAACGGCAGCCACAATGGCAGCCACTGCTGCACAAGTTCAAGCCCCCCACAAAGGTAATCACCCCATCCCCCTCCAAGGCTTTTCTAGGCTGGCAAACAATCAGACAAGCATCACAAAGACTGACATGAGAAAGGCAAGAAGTTTACTAATAGCACGTAGCCCTCCTGTATCACTGGGAGAGTAACTTGTCCACATGGCTTCGGCCGCCATTTTAAATAACTTAGCAAAGACAGGCGACCTTGGCAGGGGAGTGGGAAGGGGAGCCCATTAGGAATAGGACTGTGGGGTCCTCCCTGGTGGCACAAGGCAGTGAATCTGAGCACTAGGAAGCTATCCACAGCCACTGCAGCATGAGTTTGATCCCCTGCCAGGGAGCTGACCCACATGGCTCAGCAGACCTCTCCTGTCTTACCCGCTGCTCCCCTCAGCAGTGTATTTCAGCCAGTCCACCTGTTCTACTCAATCTGTCTCTGGTGAATCCTCTCACCCCCTGCACCTCTGGCCTTACCTCCCAGCTCTTGTATGCATAAATAAATAAATAAATCTTTTTAAAAAAGTCACTAAATGGCTAAAAGGAGCTGAATCATTGCCCTGTCTAAAGGCAGAAGATGCTCCTTGGCAGGGAATGAGCCCTCCATCAGTCAGGGGCATTCAAACACAAGCAGGCATTTGCCTCGGTCAGGGGTAGCATTTGTCTAGACTTCAAGCCTGAGTTGAGGGTCTCAGATGAGCTTTTCCCTTTCACCCAAGAAGCTGAGATGACGCCCAGCTGGCTGGTGTCTTGGAGGACACATGGACAGCAGGCTCCAAGCATTTCACCCTTCATTATTCCATTTTTCCCTTGGTGAACCTCCAAGGTGGGATGGTGACGTCTAGCTCACCCCCCACACCAGGAGTTACCATGTGTCTGAGCACCCTCAGGGTGTCTTTGGTTAGGTTCCCGGGAAGCAGAGCCAGGGAGGGGCTTCTGGTGAAAGTGATTTCCTGGGGGCTTGTTCAGGAAAAGGGGGTTGAAGGAGGCCGGAAGAGGCTAGGAAAGAGAGTGGAGGAAGGATAGGGTCTCCGCCGGTGTGAGTGGCTCAGTCTGACGCCATGGGGGACAGTGGGTGAGACGATCAGTGTTGCTTCTATCTAGAGACAAGAGGGCTGACTTTCCATAGCCCAGAGTGCCAGGGCTCACGGGTGGGGGTTCTGTCCCTCCGTTTGGCAGGGACAAGGGGCAGCTGTGACCTCAGAAATACATCCTTGTCCCAAGTCCCCACCCGTGTGGCCCTTACTGTCACCTCCGATCTCATCCCTCCTCCTTTCTGTTCCTGCTGCTGGTGGCTCACCTGGTGGGAGCAGAGGTCCGGCCCTGCTGGGAGGTGCCCGGGAATGCCAGGGGAATGGAGCAGAACAGGGCCCTCCCTCTGAGCAGAGTTGTTGGGGGGGGGGTCCCTCCAGGCCCCCGGCACAGGGCCTGAGGCTGTTCAGTTGATCTTGCAAACTGGCCTTTTTTCCCCACAAAGGAAGCAAATATAACCAGGCAGTGAGGATGTTGATGCTGTTTGGCATGTGAATATACTCCTTGAGGTAGTGACAGGGAAACTAACCAATTGTACGACCGCAGACATTTCCTGACTCAGAAATGGATAAACAAGGCCCTGCACACAGCACACACGAAAGCATATGTGCTGTCCGCTCACACAGCACACACACACAAACACATACGCACGATGCACAGTACGTGTGTACAGCACGGTGCCTGCACACACCCGCCCGCAGCCACGTCCCGGGTGCCGGCCTCCAGCCCTGCCTTGCAGACAGGCTCACCGATGCTTCCAAGCACCCCCTTCCTCCCACTCAGCCACGCAGGTGCACACACTGCAACACCACCCCACCTGGGTGTGTGGACACACGCCAACAACACCCCTCCCCCATCACCGATATGCCCCCCGTGTCTCACCCACCACCAGCAGGCACAAGCAGGTGCAGACAGAGCAGCAGCCAAAAGAGCAGCTAGCACAGGCCTAACTACACAGCTTCTCTCCAGAGCTGACACGTGCCAGGATCACTCAGGCCTCAGACACTGACGGGTGCACAGTATGTCGGGTGCTGCCTAGGCAGATATGTGACACACAAACACACATCCAGACCTGCGCACACACAGTCATACACAGCCACGGCGACGCAAACACGCGCTCACACTCACAGAGGTACACACAAGTACCCAGGGCCGCGCTCCAGGCTCATGTCTTTCCAGAGCCACAAAACTGCACACTGAAACCCCCTTTCCCCCACAAGCGATCTCTAGCCTGGGTTTCTATCTCCCTTTGCACTGCTCCCACCCATTTTTTTTTTCCAGATCAGTGTGGTGGCCTTTCTTTAGCTAAGGGCGGGGGGGCTACACCTGAGGACCTTCTGAGAAAAGAAAAGAGAGAGACAAATCTGCCCTGGGAACCAATGTTTGAGAATTTGGCTGGAAAGTTAGAAAGACGAGGAAAGGATCTAGTCTTTGGCGTTGGCTACACCCTTTACCCCCACTATCAGGCCAACGTCCTCATTTTAGGGAGCTAGGGTGGAAGCTGGGGTGACTCAGAAACTTGCCTGGGTGAGAACATGGACACGGATGGGTGTCTACGCTGTTCTAGCAATGGTCCTCACCAGCCACATCAGCAAACAGCCTCACAGCGGTGGGGTTTTGCAGGGATGCGGTGGCGGTGGTGGAGGAGATGATGTAGGTCTCGGCTCCCACCTAGTGCCTCCTTCCTGCCTGGCTTTATTGAAATTAGTAAATTTGTGTCTCCATTTCCCAAATGAGGCAGCCGAGGCACAGATGTGCCACCGGACGTACCCGAGATCGCGTTCTTAGTAACAGCCTGTGAGTGAGAAGCCCTGACGCATGGTGCCCCATCAGCGTTACAGCAGAGAAGCAGGGGGACCCTCCCAAGCTCTGGGTTCCTGTGCACACGGGGCATCTGAAGCCCAGTGGAAGAGACTCGTCAAGTCCCGCAGGAAGATGGTGGCCATCTTCTCTGGGGACGCACCTGTGTGGGAGCTCCAGCAAGCCAGGCCTCTCCAGAGGTCAGGGGACGTGGCCAGCTCGGGCTCCGCCGGGTTAACAAGGAGCAGCCACTCAGAGAAGCAACGCTGAAGCTATTTGTCCAGCTGATAGCACAGGTGGGCACCCAGTTGGGACTCAGGTTGTGACCATTCCCCTGGGCTGCAGACAAGGTTAATTGCTGTCCACTTGCCAAAAACCGACCCACGCACACAAGGCACGGTGAGGGCCTCAGAGAGGCCCTGCGTGCACTGAATCTACTTTAGAGAGGAAGTAAGTCGAGTACAGACCATGACGGCACTGGCGGGAACACTGATGTCCTCTGGAAGTGACCACAGCAAGGCAGCAGAGCAGTCCTGTGCAGGACCAAGCAAGGGGCCACACCTAGAGACCCCAGCTAGTAATGGCCAAGCCCAGATGAGGGTCCAGCTTTGTTGGGATTTCTCTCTTTGCTGGGGTCAGTAACTCTGAGGTCCTCAGGCTGTGATTGCTGCCTCCAGAAAGGGGTGAAGGGAGGTGCCTCCAGGGAGCGGTGGTGCTGGTGCGTGAGCCTGGGGCTGTGACAGGTGGGGAGACAGAAGGAAAGCACCAGGTGAATAAAGGCCCTGTGAAGGGGAGGTGCAGACGCAGCCCCTAGCCTGAGGGCAGGCCCCTCCTGCTCGATGAGCAAAACCCCAGCACCACCCCCCCGCCCCCCCCACAGGTCTGATGAAAGCCCTAGAGGATTAGCCAGGACCAGGGGGGCGGGCTTTAATAGACTTCCTTCATTAAAAAGGTCTTTTATTTGGTTTTGTGTTTAATATTGGCTTTCTGTGTTACCTGTTTGTCAGCAGGGGCCAGTGGGCACCCAGAGGGTGCTCTGCAGCCTTGCTGTGGTCACTTCCAGAGGACATCAGTGTTCCTGTCCCGGTGATGAGCTGAGGAACCTGGGGCCTGGAGAGGGCCTGTGAGCGGCTGTCCAAGGCCCACGACTAAGGCAGGTGCAGAGACAGAGCTGTTTCTTGCCTCCGGGATTCATCAAGGTTGGTGAAGAGAAGCAGAAGTCTTCCCAGAAAGCTTCTTCAAGGGAATCAGTTCTGGCGTGGGTTACTGGGGGGCAGCTTTCAGGGGTGGGGGTGGGAAGGGCTACTTGAGAATAACTTTGGAGCAGGCAGAGGTATGTGTGTGGGCCACGGAGGACAGAGATGCCGCTGCCTGACGGAACATGTGTGGGACACACAGCACAGAGGAAGGCCATGAGACACCCGGGACACGTTGCCTGAAGGACATAGTAAATGGATCGCTGGGCTTCATTGTTGCTAGAATGGTTCACAACCGTTGGCAATTTTTCACTGACCTGTAAGATACATGAATGAAATCGTTGCCTTAATTTGAAAGAATTTGTTTGGGTTTTGCTTGCTTGCTTGCTTGCTTTTTTTAGGTGATTTTTAAAAATATAAAAATGTAATAGTTTATTTTTACATCATTTTGTGCCTTTTTCCATCTCCGTTGTAATCCCTGTGGTTTCTTTCTTTTTTCGATATTGTTTTCCTTTCTTATTTTATTTTATTTATGTCTAGAAGAACTGGGGTATAGGCCAGAGATGTGGGGGGTGACAGAATTCACCAAAGACAGAGTGGAGAGAACAGGCAGATGGACTGAAACACACAGTCCAGGGGAGCAGCAGGGAGACAGGAGAGGTCTGCATCAGCTCCCTGGCCAGGGATCTAACTCCTGACACAGGGGTGAAAGCACTGAGACTTAATCCCTAAGCCACCAGGGAGGCCTTGGATTTTCTTTCACTCTGTGTCAGAGTACAGAACGCAAAAGGAATGTTAAGCATCTATTTATACCTTAAAATAGAAATATATATATATAATGTATTTTATTTTAAAAATGGCAAAGAAGCACATGGCTACAATTAGAGAAGAGAATGTGAGCGGTGGGGGGAGGGGCTGGATAGGTGGGGGAGGGGCCCCAGGCAGCAAGACCAGCAGTGCTCAGGCACAGCCTTTGGGGTGCTCAGCCTGTTAGGGACAACAGGCTGGGCCCGGGAGGCTGGAGTGTGGCAGGAGGCAGGGCCAGGAGGCCAGGTCTTGCTTGCGCTGAGTCCCAAGGTGGGGAGGGGGAACAGCGTGCTGGGGGAGCAATGTGCCGGGGTGGGGGACCCCATTCCTGCAAGGTTTTGGGAATTGAATGTCTGGTTGGATTTAGAGGCTCTATTGCAAGGACACACATCGCCTCATTTTTATCTTCAGGAACTTTGAGATAATGATCCCCATTTCGTAGAGAAGGTAACTGAGGTTCAAAAAGTTTTAATGACCTTTTTCCCCCTCAAGGTCGCAGAGCTTGTGGAACAGGGGTGGACTCTGAACTCCAGGCCTGACCCAGGTTGTCCTTAGCACACATTTTCTCTCTAAAGCCCAGAAAATAGCTGCAAACTCTTGAAGAGAGCCAGTACTTCAGAGTTTTGTTGTGTTTCTATTTTGTGCTCTTCATTTCAAAACAGTTTAGATCCTCTCGTGGAGCAGAAATCCAAAACACAGAAGGGTGAGCCGTGACAGCACCCCTCAAACCATCCTCCATCCCAGGGGTCACCTCTTTGACCTTCTGTGAGGGCCGGAGGGGCACGCTTTAAAAACCAGTGAAATGTAGCTTTAGAAGTTTTGCTTGCATAAATCAAATTTTATTTCAGCTGGCCCTGGGGGCAAGGACAGATTTTGAAAATGAACCCACGAGCATTAAAATAGTTGGCTTTTCTCTCTGGTTCCTGCCTTTAAAATTTTTGACATATGTAAATGCTAGAGGTCATTGGAAAACAAATGACTTTCAAGTATAAAACCAAATAGAAAGACAGGATCTTTTCTCCCCAGGAAATGATGACTCTTCACAGCATTTCCTTTGCTCTGCATAGCTCACAGAAGTGCTGGGTCTCTAAGGGGCAGGCAGCCTCCTGGGCTCCTCAATGGCTCAGGCTTTCTTTACTGCCCAGCTGAAGGGGAGGGAAGACCCCAGCCAGAAAGCCTTTCCCTCCCCTCTGTCCTGTGTCCTCCCTCCCTCCCTCTTCCTCTCTCTCTGTCCGTCCTTTGCTCCCTCCTCATTTCCTTCCCTGTGGCCTCATCCCCCAGTGTTGGCTGCAACCGCCACAGTAAGATCCCATGGTCACAGTCAGGGGTGGGTGGGGGTGGGGGTGACAAAGGGTGACCCCAGGTGCCACCTGGTCCTGTCAGGCTCTCTGAAGAGGCCCTCAGCCGGGAGCCCAGGGCTGGTGCCTCTGACCTGACCTGCGTGGCCTTTGCTGGTGGCTGTTCCTGCTGCTAAGCGCCTGACCCCTCACCCACTTCCTCCCAGACTCAGTCCTGGTCCCCTTCAGCTTCTAGTGACTGACTGGACCGGCATCAGGTAGCTGCTTTAAAACACCTTCCAGGGAGCTGGATGGAGCTCTCACTTGCCAGGCACAGAGGAGCCTGAGAGAGTTGGGAGCAAAACCCAGTTCTGTAAATTCCTCCTCTACAATTTTGAGGAAGTCACAACCCCCATCTGAATCTCATTTCCTCATTTGTAAATTGAGGGGTGTGACTGGCCATCGTGGGTTCCAGGGCCATGTGTTTTTCTGGTTCTGGGAAGTTTTGCTTTGGGTTGATCTGGCTTTTCTGTGGGAAGGATTCCTAAAACTCCCAGGGGTTTGGCCCCCACCCCCACCCCAGCCCACCCGTGTTGACATTTCTCTGCTCCACCAGGGACCCAAGGAGACAATTTTCTCTGCCATGAATTCTGGATTCACATCCCCAAACCTGCCTGCCAGAGGCTACCTCAGCACTTCTGACACAGAGAAGGGTGGGGGGAAGGAAGCACCTTGAACAGAGAGGAGGAATGGACAGAGTGGGAGGCCATCACCCCTGGACCAGGCACCCGTGTCTCCACTCCGTCCATTCGGGGTGCCCGTCAGCTCCTGGGTGCCAGGCAGGTGCTGAATGGGAGGTGGCAGGGCAGACGTGGCCATGGGCCGGTAGGCACAGTCTGTGCATCGCAACAAGGAACAGTAAGAGGACACGCCTGAGCCACCTAGGATGTCCCTGGGATGTCAGTCTGGGGAAAGAGTTGCTTTTCTTGTCTACTTGTAGGAATTTCTGGCACATTCTGGATACCGGCTCTGCGTTGTCATCTAAGGGGCCAAAACCTTCTCCTAATCTCTGGTTTGTCTACTAATCCATTGGGTGTACAGTTCCTCAATATAGTCAAATACTGTTCTTCATGGTGGGCGCTGACACATGTTGAGCGCTGAAATAAATTCTTACTCTGCAGTAAGCATGACAGTTACTTCTAAAAGTTTTAAGATTTCTCTTTTCCTTTAGGTCTTTATTATGTGGTATTTGTGTGTGTGTGTGTGTGTGTGTGTGTGCACGTGTGAACTCATTTTATTTTAATTTTTGTACAAGTAGCCAATTGCCCAAAATTCTTTTTTAAATGATGGCCAAATCATATAGTGTAAAATTCACATTCACAGAGTGAAGGGTCTGGTCAGTGGCAGCGAGGGCGTTCACAGCTTGCGGCCATCACCTCTAGTTCCAGAACATTTATCATCATCCCAAAAGGAAACCATATACTCAGTAAGCCCTCATTCCCGCTTCCCTTCCCCAGTCACAAGCAACCACTCTTCTGGCCCACGCTGGACATTTCATATAAACAGAGTCATACAAAATGTGGCCATTGTGCGTAGCCTCTTGCTGGACATGACGTTTTCAGGGTCCGTCCGTGCTACCTCAAGCACCAGCCTTTCCTTCCTTTTCACATGGAATATCCCATGGTATAATGTGCCACGTTTTGTTTATCCGTCATCTGTGGACGGACATTTGGGCTGTTTCCACCTTTTTGCCATTGTAAAGTGCAAGCCAGGATGTGCTTGTGCAGAGGTGTTTGATTTGCACACCTGTTTTCAATTCTGGGGGGGAAGGGGCGGGGGCATTTTCTGAGCTGTTCTTGCCCATCAAACGCAGCCTCCTCTGTCTGGCGCTGTCTCCACACATGTGGCTCTCCCTCTCCTGCTCCATTCCAGCAGCCTGAGAACCCAGCCCTCACCCCCACACCCCGCCTGATTGCTGGAACTGCAAGTCGCTCCTGCTATCTGCTACAGAAGTGCCTGTGTCTCCGCCCTGCTTTGTCAGTGCTGTCCTGGTTAAAGCTGGTCCCTTGTTCTCACCTGTTCATTTTAGCTGTGGGGGCTGACAGAGCCCCCACAAACCCTGTGGGCTTTGTTTGACCTTTCCAGGGTGATTAGAGAAGAGCTGCTACCTTTGTGAGGCTGAAGCTTCCTAGCAAACACACCAGGATCTTTTTCCTTCTACCTCAAGGCTTTTTTTCTATGACCCAGGCTCACTCTCGCCCAGCTTGTCACCTGCGGACCGGACTCTTCTTCCTTCCCATGCCGTCTTTCCTGGTCCACTTTATCTCTCTGGTCACAACTAGCCTGAAAATAAATAAATCAGGAGGCTCTTTGTTAACGTCTGGGCTGTAGACGCCTCCAGGATTAAGACAACACCATACCATGTTACCTCAGTGCCCTCAGTTTGCAGGAAGGGGGTTGACAGGTAACAGGGTCCTGTTAAATGTTGTCAAAAGATTAAGGAAGGTACAGGGAGGAGACCCTGGAGGATTGCCCCCCCCATCTCTGCCACCAAGCACTTTGACAGATGGGGAACAAAGTTACTTAGCTGGATTAGGGACGTGCTGATTCGGATGTGCTGAGATTAGGCAAGCTCAGGAAAGTTGCCCAGCTCTGGAAACAAAGCCAGCCAGGCAAGTAGTCAGAGCTACTGGTTCCCCTAAGCCCTATCCGGAACATTCAGTCTCACCCTCCTCTGAAACTTCAGGCTCTCAAGCCCTTTCACCAACAGTTACCACATTCCCTCTTCCACCAACTAGCCATGTAACTCCGACTTGAGACAAATGAGTCTCCAAGGGAAAGAGCGGCTCATCTTGGCCTGAAACCTATAACCTTAGCTTCTGACTCCAGACCTAATGTGTATCATCTTCATGGTGGTTTCCAGAGCCACCATGCAGTAGGACTCTGGCTAGACTTTGGCTCTTCTCAAGAGAAAACAAAGAGCTTTCAGAACCAATGTGGACAAATTCTTCTTATTTTCTTATTACTCAGGTAGGAGATGACTATGAAGCATGGATGCCTCGTGCTCACACCTCTTTAAACCAATCGTAAAAACCAAAGTGAATCTTCCAAGTAAATACAAACATGACCACAAGGCCAATAAAATGCAAATTAACAGCATTCAATTAATGTGGTGGATGAGGTGATACTCATGCAGATTTCTGCTATGGCTCAACAGCCTCAGAGTAATGATTTTACATCTTACGGGGTTGGTGTTTCCTAGCTCATCATCTCTTGATTTCCATCGTGATGAGCCAGCACTTGAGCGAGTGTCAGCGTTGCTGTCATTTTTTGTTTTAACCACTAATGAGCTCCTTTACAATTTAGGATGATGGACTAAGCAATCTAAAGAATTCATTCTCACATGCAATAGTGAAAGGTGGGAAAGGGTCACTTAACATTACGTGGCTCGTGGTATAGGCCTGGTATAGGCCTGGGGATACTCACTACGTGGGAGCTGCTAGCAGTGTGCTCACCAAAGACAATAATGGCAGGATTTATGTTCCAGCAAAGGGCCTTTGTGCTCAGGGACCTCCTCATTTGCTGTGTGGCTGACCATTCAAATCTCCCAGCAACCCCTTGGACCTATCATTCTCCCAAGATGTGAATCGCCCACAGCCTCTGTGCATCCCAAGTATTCAATTGGGCCTCTGTTCTTTTCCACTTGCATGAAGCAATTAAAAGTATACATCAGGGGCCCACTCCATGCTGATTTCGTGATGTCAAATCACAGTTGCAGGGCGTTCAATTACTTACGGCCTTAACGGAGTCATCTCTGAAAATGACCTTCAGTGGCAAACTGATCCTGGCATAAGAACGTTTTGAGTATCCCAGGGGCAAAATAGATAGCCTCGACACCCCCAACCGGGGTGTACCTCCGGTGTACCTCCACTCTGCCAGCAGCCCCTCTCTTCAGCAGGAGGGAGCTGGTAACCACAGGAAGAGCTAAGTGAGGGCCTCAGCGTGAGCCTACTTCAGCTCACCAGAAATGAGTCGCTGCCACGAAGGGGGCAAAAGCACTAATTCTGAAACAGTTTTTTCTGGGGGTGGGGTGGGGGGTTCCCTTCTAAGTGACTCTGGTTGGAAACCCTAGGGATGTGGGAACCCCTGTTTCAGAAACGGTAGGCTCAGAGAGCACTGGTCTTGAACAGACGCTGGTCGTGGCCAGACCGAGCTACGTGACCAAAGAGCAGCCCCTCGCTTCCGGAGCACAAAACTTAGGGGGCTCCGCTCTGGGAAATGGAGCCCGCCGTCCTGTCCCTGTGTACAGCTGTGCTCTTCCTTCCCCAGGAAACAAATGGTGGATGAGACCTCCCAGGCTCTAGCTTCCCCAGGGTTTGGCGGCTTGCCAGCAGTCGGAGGCCCCTCCCTGCAGCCGTGGGTCACGAACCCCACCCCACCCTAGGAAGCTCGAGTCTGGGTCCCCTGCCCCCAGCACCCCCATCTCCTGCAGGCCCGCTGTGACAAAGGGGCGGGCCAACCCTCTCCAGAGATTGTCTTTCTTTTGCTTGTTTGTTTTTGTGCTGGTTTCAGACTTTTCTGTTTGAGTGGAAATGAAGCAAACACCCCCTCTGCCCTGCCCCCCTCAACACACACAATACTCACGCACTCGCGCACCCGCGCGCCGGCCTGCCAGTGTCTGGGATCAGGGCGGGACCAGCTTTGCATAAACAGCCGCCGGCCGGCCGGGCAGGGCGGAGGGGAGCTCGTCTCCCGCTTTCTGGCGGCGGGGTCTCCTGGCTTCCTTGCACCGGGGAGCACTCGGCGGCCTAGCCGAAGCGCAGGCGGGCACACCCCGCCCGGACACGCCCCGCGGGGCGCGGGCGGAGGCGACACCACGACCCGCCGCGAGGACCCGGAGCCCAGGCGCGGTCCAGCCCGGTGCGCGCTCGCTGCACGCTGCGGGCCCGGGAGCCCAGCTTCTGCCGATCAGGTGGGTCCTGCCGGGCGCCCGCGCTCCAGAAACCCCCGGAGGCGGCGAGCGGGGGCTGGCGGCGGCTGGCGGGGTGGGGGGCGGGAAGAGGGCGCTGCCGGGATTCGGTCCCGCCGTGTCCCTGCTTTTGTTCTGGTCGCCACCTCTGTGACCAAATCTGAGCCGGCCTCTCTGCCCATCCTTCTGTCGCGGTCTCTGCCCAGCCTGCAACGGGGCTCGGTCTCCCCGTGGGGATCCGCGGGTGGGAGTGAGAGGGGAGGCTCGGGGGCCCAAGGGGAGTCTCCGAGGGAGCAGGAGGTCTGTGGGGCAGGACCCAGGCGTGCTTGGGACTACTGGGAAAAGGAAGCTTCTGGGAAGGGGAAGCGGGGCAAGGTCTGGAGAGGAGTGTGGGAGCCCCGGGGGCAGGGGTGCAGAGGAGTGACAGGAGAGTGGGGAGCTGCTGACCAAGCCAAAACCCAGCCTGGGGAAAGTTCCAAACACTGTAACTTTGGCAGCAAAACGGCCTGCTGCCTGGGAGTGGCAGCTGCCGAGGCCCCTTTAAGTCTTCATACCACCCTGTTCCCTCTCCTGAGAGAGAGACACCACCGGGCTTTGAAAATGGCAGAAAAAGAGCTAAGCAGAATGGCTCACAAACTCTTGAAAGGCGTCCAAGAGAGAGTTAAGAGGGGGAAAATGACAGCACCAGGGAGAAAGGACTAGAGATTCCCCAGTCTTCCCCCTGGCAGCAGGGAGGTTGGAGGTGGCCCTGGCCAGCTCACTTCTGGCTCCTCCTCAATCACCTGGAAATAGAGGCATCTGTAGAAACAGTAAAAGGGGGGTGGGGCTTGCTCCCTCAAGCCCCAGCCCGGCCCCCACACACTTTCCCAGACAAGGCCTCAGCTTCCACCCCCCAGAGACAGGGGTGCTGCTGGAAATCCGGAAAATGCAGAATGCAGAGCATGAGGACTTCTCTCTCTCTCTTCTCTCTTTCTCTCTCTCTCTCTCTCTGTGTGTGTGTGTGTGTGTAGGGGAGTGGATATGGCTATTCTCTTGGACTTGGGAGCTTCTTTGACTATCTAGACCCTTCCTGCTTGCCAGGAGTTCTTTCTGGGTATACCTTGCCTCCCTTACCAGACTGAGGGAAGGCAGATAAGAGTCCAGTTATTGCTATAAGTAACAGGTGCTCTGTCCTGGATAAGGCAGATCAAGAGCCCCTGGGATTTACAGGGTCCAGGAGCTCCCCAACTATGGTCTTGGCAAGCCTAGGATTCTGCATGGTGGGCCACCCTAATGCTTGATCCTGAGGGACACTGACCCCCTTCCCAACCTTCTAGATGGGACCAGTTCGGTTCTGCCTTTATGTCTCCTATAAACTGGAAACCACAGCAACTGTTGATATCCATTTAGTTTGAGCTGGTCAGGCTTTGGGGTGAAGAAAATGAGTCAGGAGATGTGGAAAGTGATCTGATCAAGTTCATCTGGTGGCTAAACCTTATCAAGAAACTTGTGAATCGCAAGGAAACTACTGAGT